ATGTGTGGTTGTTGCTTATGGAAAAGGCCTTTCCTTTGTTCATTCTTGCACATCATTCGTTCATTCATTTATTCATGAATCTATTCCATAATTTTAATTATTCCGGGGAAACTCACCGTGTTCATTGTTGGGAAGATGCAGAGATGACAGAAATAAGGCCTCTGCCCTCGAGATACTTGAAATCTGGTGTAGGTTGAGTATCCTGATCAGAATGCTCCAAAATCTGCTCTGGGTGACAGAGCAAGACTCTGTCTTTAAAAAAAAAAAAAAAAAAAAAAAAAAAGACCAGGCATGGTGGCTCACACCTGTAATCCCAGCACTTTGGGGGGCCAAGGCGGGTGGATCACCTGAGGTCAGGAGTTCAAGACCAGCCAGGCCAACATGGCGAACCCCCGTCTCTACTGAAAATACAAAAAAGTTAGCTGGGCGTGGTGGTGGGCACCTGTAATCCCAGCTACTTGGGAGGCTGAGGCAGGAGAATCTGAACCCGGGAGGTGGAGGTTTCACGTCTAAGAAAAAAAAAAAGAAAGAATCTGGCAAAATTCTGTCATAAAATAATGTGAGGAGGGGTTAGTGGATATTTACGGCTTCCTCCTGCAGGTTTTCTGGGTCGTCCTTGGTCTAGGGTAAATTTCATGGTCGGCATTCTCTGCCTTGTTTTCCATCCCTCCCAGCCCAGGTCGCCTCATAACTTGTCTCATTTTCTTCAGGAGCCTGTATTATCCATTAGGACAATTCTGAATATAATAGAAAGAGTTAAATTGTCTCTTTGGCGGGGTCTTGGGGTACTTTTTCCTAAGAGATCTGCTAAAAAATTGTCTCCTGATTTGGAAGAAACTCTCCATGGGATGATGGCTATATTCTGTGTCTACACTGTCTAGTACAAGAGCCACTCTCTACAAGCAGCTACTGAGCATTTGAAAGATAGTTGGTGTGATCAAGGAACTGAATTTTTACTTTTATGTAATTATATTTCGGTTTTAGAAATTAATATTTAATTTATTAAAGCAAAAAAATTCATTCTATTTATTCCTATGCTTTCACACAGTATTGTTCTATTCATATAAATCTTGTTTGTTTGTTTGCTTTTGAGATGGAGTTTTGCTCTTGTTGCTCAGGCCGGAGTGCAATGGCACGGTCTCAGCTCACCGCAACCTCCGCCTCCCAGGTTCAAGCGATTCTCCTGCCTCAGCCTCCCAAGTAGCTGGGATTACAGGCACACACCATCATGCCTGGATAATTTTGTATTTTTAGTAGAGTTGGGGTTTTGCCATGTTGGTCAGGCTGGTCTCGAACTCCTGACTTCAGGTGATCTGCCTGCCTTGGCCTCCCAAAGTGCTGGGATTATAGGCATGAGCCACCGTGCCCAGACCTATTCATATAAATCTACCAAAATCTGGCAATCAGGTATAAGGAGATTTTGTATACTGTGTGCTCCCAATTACAATGTTGGTTAATTAAACATCTTCAAAAAATTTAAACTGCATTTATAAATTTGACATACAGTTTTTTCTTTCTTTTTTTGTTTTTGAGACAAGGTCTCGCTCTGGTGCCCAGGTTGGAGTGCAGTGGCGCAATCACGGCTCACTGCTGCCTCCACCTCAGCCTCCTGAATAGCTGGGACTACAGGTGTGTGCCACCACACCTGGCTAATTATTTTTTATTTTTTGTAGAGAGTAGGTTTTGCCACATTGCCCAGGCCGATATACAGGATTTTAAAAACTACTCTTTAATTGTTGACAGACAAACCTTCTTAACTACTTATATAACCCACAAGCCTGAAAAATTAAACTTATAAATACGCCGAGCCGTTTTCTATTAATAATATTGTACATAAATTGAATAGAATTTCAATTTAAAATACATGTCTAAATTAGGTATTCAGTTACACATTTCAAATTAGGCTTAGAAAGATGAACTCTTACTCTAACTGGCTAAATTATATAACATTAAAAGAATATAAAATAAAATACGCAAAATGTATGATCTCTTTAATTCAGATATTAATATCATGGGGTTATTTATCTGAAATATGCCTGTATTCATTCTGGATCTTCCTAGAACTTAAAGATGCTACCCCATTAAGAATACTGGGTTATGTCACACAATTCCAGGGTTAAATTCTAACGAATTTTTTTTTCCAGGCAGTGGGAGGGGTGTTGAATTCCCTGATTGCCTGAGGTCACATAACCACCAGTGATTTCGGCGGGCGTGTTGTCCGGATGTTTTATCCACGACCCTGATAGGATGCGTGTTGATTCACTACGCATCTACGACCCCCGTTTATTCACTATGTTGATTGTTTATGTAACTTTAGTTAATTCCAGCGTGACCGTAAATAGCCGTATGTGGTAAGTTGCCTCTCTATTGGGAGGAGTTCTTCTCTGCAGCTCTAAATGGAACAGCCTCTGTGGCCAAAGTGGGAAGCTGCTTAGCAATTGCTGCAGTGAGACCTGCTTTCAGGGCATGTGTATTTTATCCCAGATTCATCTGCTCTTACCTCGAGTCTGGAATCTTAACTCTGCTTGCTTCCTAGTTCAGCCATAGCTACTAAGGCAACGTGTAGCTTACAGTAGACCCAGCAGCGTGTCTCTCTGGCTGCTACTTGGGGTCCAGCTCTCAGTACCCCCAGCAGTGCAGGGGCCACAGGCATGGGCTCTCAGAACTTCTGCCTACCTCCTCCTAGCCTTGCCTCCCCTAGTACACTACCTGCCACCAATTTTTATTTTATTATTAACAACATCATCCATCTTTGTCACTTGCCAGGAGGTCCCATGGTTCAAAATGTGGGTGCCGAGGCTGGGTACCCACCCTGCAAGCTGATATTTCTCTGTTCAGCTTGGCCCCTGGTGAATGATTAAGAGGAGGCAGGTAGTGTGTGTGTTATGCGGGGTGGTGACCAGTGGGAGGGAATTTAGGCGGATTGGCTTTGCCCCGCAAAAGCCAGCCCTGGATGAAAGCGTGCGCTGTTACTGATTTACTTTTCACGAAGGGCTCTTTGGTTCCAAAAAGGCTGGGAGTGATTAGTGCAGGTTAAGTTTGCCTGAATTCTTATTTTGCCTCTTGCTTCTCTTCCTTCTTTTTGGGATTCTTGGTCTTGCATATCCGACTCAAAGCTGCCCTCTCCACATCTCAGCCCCTCAAGACTCATTCATGTAATCAGATCACCCAATGGGAACTGTGATATTTACAACAAATAAAGAACCCATCTCTCATAGGGCTGGGCGGCAAAGCCCCATGCAGTGGTTCTGAACTCTGCCTCTGTCTGAGCTATCTGGGGACCTTGTTGAAAAGAAAAGAGAAGCCCCTGTCCCCAGGAGTGCCTGATTCTGTAGGCTTGGGTTGGGGCTGAAGCTGGGGCTCAGCATGTGTATTTTTAACAAGCTCCCCAGGTGATCTTGCTACAAGCTCAAGTTTAACACCTTTGAACTGTGCTATGGAAATAAGGAAGGGGACAGGCTTGGGGGCAGCCTCCCTCCTTGTGTTTTATCTTTGTGACCTTAGGCAAGTTCCGTTGTTACTCTGTGCTGCTTTTTCTCATCTCTGAAATGGGAATAATATGGTTGGTTCTTAGCCCTTAGGGTGCGTATGACAGATAATATTCATAAAGCACTTAGCACATAGCAAGTGCTCAATAAGACTTAGCTATGTTTGTGATTATGAATATATTGGTATAATAATTCATCAGTAACAGCATTATTAACACAAAGCAGTAGGCACAGGGCTAGCATATAAAAACAATCAACAAATGTCAGTTTTATTATTATAAATATATAATACAGGTTGAGCATCCCTAATCCAAAATTTAAAATCTAAAATGTTCCGTAATTGGAAACTTTTTTTTGAGATGGAGTCTTGCTCTGTCGCCCAGGCTGGAGTACAGTGGTATGATCTTGGCTCACTCCAACCTCCCCCTCCCGAGCTCAAGCCATTCTCCTGCCTCAGTGTCCCAAGTAGCTGGGATTACAGGCACCCACCACCATGCTCCGCTAATTTTTGTATTTTTAGTAGAGACGGGGTTTCACCATGTTGACCAGGCTGGTCTTGAACTCCTGACCTCAAGTGATCCACCTGTCTTGGCCTCCCAATAATCGGAAACTTTTGAGCACTGGCATGACATCACAAGTGGAAAATTCCACACATAAATCTTAACACTAACTGTGTAATGCAACACATTAAAAATATTGTACAAAATTACTTCCAGGCTATGTGTATAAGGCATATATGAAACATAATTGAATTTTGTGTTTAAATTTGGGTACCATCCCCAAGATATCTCATGATGTATAATGCAAAGATTTCAAAACCTGAAAAAAATCTGAAATCTGAAACATGTCTGCTCCCAAGTGTTTCGGATAAGGGATACTCAACCTGTATATGTTGCATAATATAAATATTGTTATATTTCAAATTATATTATGTATTACATATGAATTATCATGTGTGGGAGATGTATGCCTACACCTATGATGACATTAGACAATATACATGTAGAGTATAAATATTGACATAATGTATTATTGTGTAAATGTTAAAATTATAAGTATCGTGTAAGGAAGTTATTACTACTGGACCTGCTGTCTAGTAAGTGCTCATTAAATATATTAACCCTTTTTTTCTATTGTTTGTAATATTCACTAGCAGTAATAACATAGAGAAAAGGAAAAACCATCAGCAATAGTGAGGCAGCGGACAGGGGGCTCTTCCTTCCTGCAGAGGCAGCTGCCTGTGTTCCAGCATTCACCGGGGACTGCCCCAGACTGTTGGGTTTCTCTGCCTGGCCTAGGGATCTGGTTCTCACTGGGATCCAGAGCTGGGGAGAGAAGGAAGGGCGCCTCTCCCAGGCCTCCAGCCCTCCCTCAGCAGGGGATTTTCCTGTGGATGCAAATTGGCCGGTTACTTGAGACGTTCTCCAGTCAAATAATTCTCTCCCTCGTCAGCTGGGCCGCTAAGCGCCAGGGATGTTATGACAATGGTCGCCCTGGCAACGGCGGGAAGGCGTCGGGGCTGCCGGCTGTGGCTGCCGCGATTTCATTACCCGCATGGGGTCTGATCACCCGAGAACCTTAATAACACAACCAGGGACCCGGTCCTGCAGGTGCTCTGTGCCCGCTTGAAAAGGACTTGGGATTCATTTTTAGTGGCCTGGTGTTTAACCACCAAGGATGTTGGTTTATTGAAAGACCAAGGAAAATGTATTGAGCACCGACTGTATGCCAGGCACAGATCTGAACGCTGGGGAAAAGACAGGCAAAGCCCGTGCTCTCTTGAGCTGACATGATGGGTGTGTGGTGGTGGTGGTGGTGGTGGGGGGGGGTGCGTAACCATGGAAACCAATAAACAGGATGATTTGTGAGATAGCGAAGTGCCACCAAGGAAAGAAAGCAGGGCGGCGTGACGGTGGCATTGAGGGGGGCTCGGGCAGAGGTGACACCTGAAGAAACGGAAAGGGCCGTTTATGCCTAAAGCTGACAGAAGAGCTCCGGCCGGTGGGACAAGCAAGTTCAAAGGCTGGAACTCTTTGCTGCTCATCTGTACCTTTAGGGAGAAGGTAGCGATTATGGGGTGCTGATGGGCAGTCCTGAGGGACACAGAGGGCTCTGGAGCCTGCCTCTTTATGTGTGTGACCATAAGGCCAGCCCTGTTCCATTCCTGAGCCGCAGTTTTCTCGTGTGTAAAATGGGCTGAGAGCTAAGCCCCTTCCCTTGGCGCTGCTGCGAGGTCTACACCAGGGATGGTTCTTGCAAGGGCCCGGTCCGTAGAAGGCCCCCACGGTGTCCTGCATTCCCTCCCAGCTTTCATGGACTCCGCTTTCGTTTTATATATATGTAAAAAAAATAGCACCTAAAGGGTGAGGATCTGGGGCTCTGTCAAACCCAACGGCCAGTACGTTCCCGGAGGTCTCCAGGTTTGATCTGGGTTTAGATTTGGAGTGAAAAGTTCCCCGTTTCACATTAGGGATTTCAGACACGATTATTTTTAGCTCTGTCACATGGCTTGACTTTTTGATTTTGTGTGTGTGTGTGTATGTGTGTGTGTGTGTGTGTGTGTGTGTTTATGCTGCTAAATTTACCGCCATGCTAATACAGAGTACAGTAATAAGGCGCTGCGGACGCTCCGATGGGCCAAGGCCTGAAAAATTTTCCATCTGTCGTGGAAGGTGCCAGGCTGCCCCCTGGTGTGGAGATGGAAAATTACACCTTCGGGCTCCAGCTCTGTCGGATTTCCGCAACCTGTGATCCCTCTAACCCCAGGCCCAGGGAACCTTAGCCTACACCTGGGCAGTGCAGAGTCAGACGGTGGGCTTGGCTTGGGTGTGCTATTTCCAAGAGTCCTGTGTTTCTTTATTTGAAGATGGAACCTTTGTTTTTTTTCTTCAGTTTAGCTCTGCATGGACTTGAATTGAGGTCGACCTAAAAATCAATTAGGCCGCCTGGCAGGGTGAAGCCATACAAAGGCCCTTTTCTAATTGTGCTTCTTAACCGTTGATGCTCTGTTTCAGCAGAGAATTGTGAAGAGGGCACGGCACTGGGAACTAGAGGTCCTGAGTTCAAATCACGACCCTGATACTGCTTTATCTCTGTGATCACGGGCACGATTCCAGCAATTCCAAGGCCTGGTTTCCCCATCTATAGAATGATATTCACAATCGGGCCAGGTACAGTGGCTCATGCCTGTAATTCTAGCACTTTAGGAGACCAAGGCAGGAGGATTGCTTGAGGTCAGGAGTTTGAGGCCAGCCTGGGCAACATAGCAAGACCCCACCTCTACAAAAAATGAAAAAATTAGCTGGGCATGGTGACACACGCTTGTAGTCCTAGGTGCTTGGGAAGCTGAGGTGGGAGGATTGCCTGAGTTCAGGAGGTTGATGCTGCAGTGAGCTACGACTGTGCCACTGCACTCCAGCCTGGACAACAGAGAGAGACCCTGTCTCAAAACAAGTTGAAAAAAAAAATCTACTCACTCAGGATTGTCATGATACATGAACCATTCTGAAAAATAATTTATTTAGAGATGTTGGTAGATTAAGATGAATACATGGAAATTCACCAAGTAGAAGAGTCAGTGCCTTTCCCACCTTCTGTGGTGAAGAATCAGCTTTATCTTTTCTGACATTTTGCAGCCAATACTTTTCTGAAATAGAATAAAGAGGATTTATGAGGGAAATGAAATGGAGAAAACCCCAAACAACATCCAGTGCTCACTTTGAAAAAATTAGATTGAACAGACATAAGATGACTCCATCAGATAGCTATAAAAGTATCTAAATGCTCTCTCTTGATTTCTGTACTTATCCAAAGGTATAGAAAAGGCACCTGTCTTCAAGTCCTGCCTGAAATAGCCCACCTTAAAGGCAGGGGTAGTGTGTAGGTGATTTTTGTATCCCTTGCTGTCTGTATTTTGAAAGCACCTCAGCCAGGCGCCGTGGCTCATGCCTGTAATCCCAGCACCTTGGGAGGCCAAGGCAGGTGGATCATTTGAGGTCAGGAGTACCAGACCAGTCTGGCCAACATAGTGAAACCCCATCTCTACTAAAAATACAAAAATTAGCTGGGCATGGTGGCATGCATCTGAAATCCTAGCTGCTGGAGAAGCTGAGACACGAAAATTGCTTGAACCCAGGAGGCGGAGGTTGCAGTGAGCCGAGGTCATGCTACTGCTCTCTAGCCTGGGCAACAGTGAGACTCTGTCTCAAAAAAAAAAAAAAGCACCATGAACATCTTTAAATGAATGAATGAGGCCTTGCTTCTCTTAGAATAAATGTGGAGCTCCCATTATTGTTATCCTATGTTATGGAACATGGCTTTTTTTTTTTCTTTTCTTTTTTTCTTTTGAGACAGAATCTCGCTCTGGTGCCCAAGCTGGAGTGCAGTGGCGCATCTCGGCTCACTGCAACCTCTGCCTCCCAGGTTCAAGCGATTCTCCTGTCTCAGCCTCTGGAGTAGCTGGGGTACAGGCATGCGCCACCACGCCCTGCTAATTTTTGTATTTTTAGTAGAGATGGGGTTTCACCACATGGGCCAGGCTGGTCTCAAACTCCAGACCTCAGGTGATCTGCTTGCCTTGGCCTCCCAAATTGATGGAATTACAGGCGTGAGCCACTGCATCCAGCGGGAACATGGCTTTTTAAAAGGCATCTCTCTTGACTTGGCATCCTCCATGCCCGCACTGAACCCTGGCTGCCCTTCTGCTCTGGTTCCTGCCATGTGGCCTTGTGATTTGCATTTGCACATCTGTCCTTCCTGCCCACTGGGAGCCCCTTCAGCCCTGGACAGGTGCTGACTGCTCTGGAAGCTGTTTGGAAAATGAGCCTGTTGTACAAATGAGCCCACAGCCCTTGTAGAGGGGACTGATTGTGGAGGGTGCTGAACCCTGGCTTCTTGAATGGGGTTTCTGCCCTGTGTTTATTGCCCAAGGACCCAGATCCTTCAGCTTGACTGAGAAGCTACTTTCATTATGCAGTTGTTCAGACAGTAGAGGGATGTTTCTCATACTTGCCTGATCTTTGGAACCATTGGAGTCCTCGGTGTTTTCACAGATTCCTGGGCTGCCGCCAGATTCACTGAATCAGAATTTCTAAGAGATGGGCCTAGAAATTTGATTTTTTTTTTTTTTTTTTTGGCGATAGGGTCTTGCTCTGTTGTCCCTGCTGGACTGCAGTGGTGCAATTCATGGCTCACTGCAGCCTGGAACTCCTGGGCTCAAGGGATCCCGTCATCTCAACCTCCCCAGTAGCTGGGACTACAGGTGCACAGCACCATGCCTGACTAATTTTTAATTTTTGGTGGAGATGGGGGTCTTGCTATGTTGCCCAGGCTGGTCTTGAACTCCTGGCCTTAAGCGATCCTCCAGCCTCAGCCTCCTGAGTAGTAATGTTTGATTTTTAACAGACATCTTCAGATGAAGCTTATGCTTGGAAGTTGAGGAAAGAGGGAAATAATGTGAAATTATCTAGTACCTTGGGAGAACTACTTAAACCCTGTGGCTCTCTGTTTTCACATTTGTAAATAAGATGGGGTTCCTATTGAGGCTATTGTGATGATTCAGTGAAATAATGTGTCAGGTACTTAGCAGAATGTCTGGCATATTTATGTAATGCCTGTCATACTTAATGAGATGGCTGACACTAAGGATGGCCTGTGTGTCTTTATGATTGGCAAATGTCTGATTTTCATGTGATTTGTAACTTACAATCATATAGGTAATTCAGGCTTATGGAAAAATAAATGGGGAATAGTGACTTGTGCCTGTAATCCCAGCTATTCAGAAGGATGAGGCAAAAGGATTGCTTGAAGCCAGGAGTTTGACACCAGCCTGGGCAACATAGCAAGACCCCCTCTCTTGGAAAAAATATCTGTATCTTAGAGAAAAATTATAAGATACAGAAGGACAGAAATAAGAAGATAAACTTCACCTATCATAACCCAGAGATGCAGTTGCCAACCTTTTTTCTCTCTCTGTCTCTCTCTGTGTGTGTGTGTGTGTGTGTGTGTGTATATGTGTATATATATGTGTGTGTATATAATTATATATATGAATGCGTTTTGCATTCAGAAACTAGGGTTATACTATACCTTTTGTTTTGGCTGTTGTGTGGTTTCATCTGACATGACATTTTTTTTTTTTTTTTGAGACGGTCTCACTCTGTCACCCAGGCTGGAGCGCAGTGGCACGATCTCAGTTTCCTGGTTTACTGCAACCTCCGCCTCCTGAGTTCAAACAATTCTCGTGCCTCTCAGCCTCCCGAGTAAATGGGATTACAGGTGTATGCCACCACGCCTGGCTATTTTTTGTATTTTTAGTAGTGGTGGGATTTCACTGTGTTGTCCAGGCTGCTCTTGAACTCCTGACCTCAAGTGATCCTCCTGCCTCGGCCTCACAAAGTGCTGACACTACAGGTGTGAGCCACCGTGCCTGGCCTGGCATGACATTCCTTGTGTGTTAATTAATGAGAGTTTGATAGACTTGGGTTCAAATCCCAGTTTATCCACTTAGTAGCTTGATGACCTTGGGCAAGTTATTTGACATTTCTGGGTCTTGATTTCTTCCTTTGTACAATGGGGACAGTGATTGGACCCATATCACAATCCTCCAGCGTTGTGGAAAATTAAAGAAGGTAATTCATAAAATGTGCTCATTTCAGCATTTGGCTCAAAGCAAATCTGTTAACTGACAGCCGCAGTTATTCTGTAGCATCAGTCCTGGAAAACCAGGAGAAAGAGCTGCTCTTTCCCAGGGTCCCTGTTTGGGAAGCCCTGCTCGATCTCTGCCCAGCATAGCTTCACACTCTGCAGTTTTCTGGGTTTTTCCCTGCTCAGCTCAGTACACTCTTGTCCCGCAAGATGATTCTCATTCCCTTTTGCCTCAAGGGCAAGGCCACAACTCGAGGCCACTGTCCCCACTTGTCTCCTTCACTCCATCTGCTTCCTAAACTCACTCCTCCCATTTCTAATGTGTCATAGTTGGGACACCCCTTGGTTCTAACTCCTTGGCAAGTGCAGGATCTTAGTCTCTGGGTGACCTGGGAAACACCTGCCCAGAGTCCACATC